GCCGCCCCCGCGCGCCCGCCCCCGCCGGCCCCATTGGTCCCCGCAGTCACATGCCGAGCGGCGGGGCCGCCCGTTCCTTCCCTCCCTCCCTCCCTCCCTCCCTGCTTCCCTCCGAGCCTCCCTCGGCCGGGCTGAGCGCAGGGAGCGGTCCCGATCGCAGCATGAGCACCCTCAAGGTCTACAGCACCTCGGTGACCGGATCCCGGGAGGTGAGCGGGGGGTGCTCGGGTTTGGGGCCCCTCTCCCCTGCGGTTGGGAGGTTTTTTCCCCCTGGAGCTGCGCAGCTTCCTCTCCCATCCCCATCTCAGGTGTCCCCTCCCTTTCTTAGGCTGCACTGGCCCCTTCTTCCCCCCAGTCCATCCCGCCGTGCCGGGTGGGGTCTGATGGTGAGCACCGTGCCGAGCGTGGCCAGCACACCGGGGGGCCCTCCCCGCCCTTCAGGCTCCTCTCCAGCTCCCCATAACCTGCCTTTCCCACCCGGGTTCCAGATCAAATCCCAACAGAGTGAAGTAACCAGAATTCTAGATGGGAAAAACATCAAGTACGAGCTGGTGGACATCTCCCAGGACAATGCTCTGCGAGAGGAGATGAGGGCAAAGGCAGGCAACCCCAAAGCCATCCCACCCCAGATTGTCAATGGAGACCATTACTGCGGGGTAAGGCTTGTGCTGTGTGCTGGGGACAAGCCCCGTGGAGGTTGGGGGGTGGGCAATAATCCCTCCCCTTGTTTTTGCCAATACATCTTTCCAAAGGTGTTTCTTGTGAGGTGTGTGGCTGAGGCACTGGCAGAGTGAATGGGTGTTTGGAGCATGGTGACTTGTGAAAAACGGGACCCAGCTGGGGGGACAGTGGGTGACTTTGGCCAGTGGGGCTGTCCCTTCTTTGCCCTGTCATCCTCTGTGTGGCTGTCACCTGTGCTGTGACCCAGTGAGTGCTGTGTGCTCAGGGCACCCTGTCCTGCCTGTCCAGCAGGAGCATTCAGCCCCCTCTGCCCTTGTGAGTGACTCCATGGCTTTTCCCTGCAGGATTATGAGCTCTTTGTGGAAGCTGTGGAGCAAAACACCCTGCAGGAGTTCCTGAAGCTGGCCTGATCCCTGGCTTCCTTCCCCTCCTGGACTCTACCTGCATTCCTGAGCACCCTCATCTCCGACCACCTTCACTTCCAGGTTGTCAGCGCTCTCCTGGCACCACCACCTGTATCCCAGCATAGGGAAACCCATGACCAAAACTACTCATTGCAGCTGCCTCCAGTTCCCTCCTGCCTAACCCTGAGATCATCTCAGAGGGATCCAAAGAAATCCTGACCCTCACTGCACACAGCCTTTCAACGAAGCTGGACCTGGCTCCCACCGCAGCTTCCAGTGCCTCTGTAAACAGCAAATCCCCTGGGGCTGTGTGAAGTGCAGCCATCCAGCCCTCTCTCCCTTCCACTGGGAGAGCTCCTGCTTCAGGAGGGAAGGGCTTCGGGTTGCATGTTACTTCCCCACTTCTCCCAGTTGCTGTTCAAATTGTCAGTCCTGCTGCCTCACTTCCTTTTGTTGTTAATGATTATTTTTCTTCTTCATCTCAACTGCAGAGATGATGGCAACTTAAGTTGATTTTTTGTTTGTTGTGTTTTGATGCAAAAATACTGCACAAAGCTGGAGTCTGAGCACACAGAAGGCTGGTGTCCCTGGGCTGGCTGCCTGGGGGGATGGATGGGTCTGGAAGTGGGACCCGTGCTGCTCCATCTGCCCTCCCCTGTGATGTGGTGCTGGGGCTCCCTCGTGAGTGTTCATGGCTCAGGGCTGCTCCAGAACAGCTGATGCTCCAGCTGTCTTATTTTTCCTCTTTTGAGTTGGCTTATTTGCAACCTGGACCAAGTGCATTTTGTTTTCCTGCCAAAAAAGCAAGTTTATAACCAGTGTTGTCTTCCGAGATGCTATTAAATGTTACTGTACCTTTCACCTTGGTACTCGTGGGTTTCTTTTAAATTTGGTTTTATTTTTGACTACAGGTTAAACATCACCTAAGGATTTTGAGTCATTTTCAGCTCAGAGAATCTGAGTCAGTCGCTGCTGCAGCCTGACACAAAGATCTTAACACCTTAGATTGCTGCCACTAATGAAAGGCTCACAGGACTTGTCTGAATATCCTACAGCGTGGTAGTGACAGGTACCTCCTCAAGCCTCTCTGTGTGGTAAGAATGGCGTCCCAGGGGCAGTGCACAGGGCCCCCTGTATCTGCTATAGGTGGAAAAAGGAAGAAATTAACTTAAAACTCTGGGAATTGAGTCACTGGTCATGGGTATCCTGTGGAAGTGGCTGTTTTGCACAAGTGGTGCTGCTTGTACTGGAGTTGTGCAGGACCCAGCTCTGGTTGGAGGGGTCTGGGAAGTGCTCTGGGCCTCCTGCTGCTTTCCACAGCAACTGTGCCTTTGGAATCTTGAAGTGGAAACTGCAACTGAAATAAGGGGTGTTCTTGGGAGCCTTTAAGCAGGGCTGAGTGGCAGTGTGTGCGGGGCCCCTGCTAAAAGGGAACCTGCCAGAAGGCACTGCCTTGCACAAGGGGGAGTGTTGTCAGCTGGGAGTCAAGTGGGAGCTTGTCACAGCTGAAAGGGGAAGAATGTGCTGGGAAAAGGCTTTGCAAAGTGCAGCCCCAGCCCACAGGAGAGGGAGGAAGATGCTTTACTCAGGCTTCAGCAGAGAAGCAGCAAAGGGATTATGCTCTTCTCCAATGACATGGTGTCCTGTTGCAGCATCCAGCTCCTGCTGCAGCGGGGAGGAGGGAGGCAAGTCGGTGTGGCTGGGAGCCTGGGCTGGAGCTGGGGGCTGGCCAAGGGAAGGAGTTTGTTCACGTACAGGAAACCCAGGATCTCCTGGCTGAGATGGGCCTGGCTCAGTCCCAGCGTTGTGAGGCCTCCAGGCCTCTTGGTTTAGCTTCACCCAGGACCCTGTAACTGAACCTGTTTCTCTCCTGGTGTAAATGCAGTTGTGTGGAAAGCAAATTGACCCTGGATGTTTTTGTCCAGCTATAGAGAGTCCCTGAGCCCAACTAGGGCAACTTTCCAGTGCCAGTGTAAAGCCTCTCCTGGGCAGGGCTCAAATGCTCCTGTGGTAGGAGCCCACCTGTCATGGGGAAAAGCATCCACCCATGAGGCAGCAGGGATGGGGGC